TCGGCTAACAGAAAGCTGTGTAGTCATCGATTTGGTATGTGGTCTCCGGTGCTCTCGGATCTCCTGTAAAATTCCCCCTCGTATAGGGGAAAACTCCTGGGGTAAGAGGATGAGCTGTAGGTGCTCCAATCCCTCGGAGCTATGCTCCTGGCGCTGTGGGGAAGGAGGACCAGACCCACTAGCAGGGGATGAGGGGGAAGTGGAAGGGAGGGTCAGAAGGGGTCGAGCTGATGAGTAAGGGAGTGAGGAAAGGTGGGGGGAGGGCTCTATGATCATGAGAGCTGAGGAGAAAGGGGGAGCCTCGATACACAATGGGATGGCAAGAAACTCTATCTCATCCACTAATAGATCATCATCGTCAAAAAGGGAGCTGGGTGATGCTCCCAGATGGTCGGGGAAAATGTGAAACTCCTCCTCCGACTCTGAGTCAAGCACAGAGAAGCGAGAATGGGTGGCTATGGGAGCTAACTGGAGGGACTGGTGGGGGAAAAGGCCTGTAGCTTTAGCTTTAGGCCTATCGAGGTTAAGCTCCTTGGGCAGAGTGCCCTCAAAGGTGACCTTGCCCTTGCCCTTTTGCCCCTTCAGATCGGTGCCGTGGGCCGGGGCCTTGCCCTTCTCCTTAGGGCTCCTCGGGGCAATAGTAGAACCCTGCCTCGCTACTCGTCGACGGGGGGACAGAGCAGGTCGGGGCTTGTTGCCCTTAGTATAGCATTCTGCAGCCCCATGTCCTACATGATTGCATAGGGAGCAGAACGGTGGTACTCTCTCGTAGACCACTTTCTGGATAGTGGTCTTGCCCGCTTGGTCGAGCTCAATCTCCTTGATGAGCTCGTCCCTAAGATCAACCTCTATGCACACCCGTGCAACAGATAGCCTCGAGCGATTTGCCATAGCGGCATCAGTCTCAATGGGATTGCCAATGCAACTGACAATCGAAAAGAGGGCAGAAGGGTCGAAAAGGTGTGGTAAAAGGCCCGGAAAGCAGCACCACACCGGAACTATAGGGGATTTCTCAACAAAGGAGAAATTCGGGGTGTATATAAACACCCCACCAGCACATCCAAAAATATTGAGATGCGTCTTAATCCAAACCGAGTTGTAGTCCTCTTTCAATTCAAAAAGGAGTAAATAATGGTTATAATTCAAGAACTTAGGGATCACACTACCCTTGAGACCCAATTTGACCAAACCGACAGATAAATCCCGGAGGGAAGGGACAATGAAGGAAAACTTCAAAATGAGTGCATTATCCAACGACCCAGCTAGGGAAATAACAGTGGGCTCAGGGAAACTTACCTTGAACCTGCCCTCCTCGGAGCGAGTGACGGACCCGCTCTGTTTGTCCCG